TTTTTTTGGTGCGCAAAGTCAGATGAAGATGTGTTCCTCCTCCCGTCCCTTCACAATGTGTTCGTCTGGTCACGATGGTGATAACGGGGGTATAATCGTCCAACCACATCAAACCTGTGAGCCACTGACACCACATCCTGTTGAACCCCCCCCCACCCACCACCACCACTCTGAGCCACAGTCCAAGCCACAGCAGCACGTACCTCCCATCCTTTCCCTTGTAAGGCAGCCTTTGTGGGAGACTGTATTTAGGGAAAATGGCTAATATTTAGGGACTGGAACTTGTAATGTTAGCTGGGCACCTATTTTAAACAGGGCCCATGAAGTCCTATACATAGCGGCAACAGTAGGAGGGCCGCATATAGGAGGAGGAGAGAGCCGGGAGTGTTGGTGGCAGCTTCCCCCGTCTGAGCGGCGACACTAGAAGCTCTCCGACTCTGTTCTTCCTGTTTACCTCCTTCAGTGATGTGTTTGGCACATAGCTTCCCGGTTGAGTCTCCAAACCAACAAGCAAGTGAAGGAGAGAAAGTAGATCCAGACCAAGTTAAAATACCTGAGTATATATATATATATATATATATATATATATATATATAACGTTCATGAAGTGAAAACACTAGTGTTTGGGTAATCTGTTGATCCCGGTTTGATTCCTCCAGTCTTACCCGAGCTCTAACGGCCTCCTCCTGCTCTTGCCGATGTCTTTCAGCCCTGACGAGTGGAGGAGGCAGCCAGCAGCACAGCCCTCTGAAGCGCTCCGTGTCCCTCACGCCTCCCATGAGCGGCCCCAGCAACCAGCCTCTGGGCCACGTCTGGCTGTCCCAGGAGGACTTGCGGACCGCCAGAGGCCCCGCACCCGACCACGCGCCTCTCTCGCCCCAGAGCAGCATCGCCTCCTCGGGCAGCGGAGGCAGCGAGCACCTGGAGGAGGCCGGTTTAGGAGGAGGCATGGGCCTCCATCGCAGCACCTTCCACGACGATGGCAGCGGCATGAGGGGTGAGTAGGAAAGACCAGAGCACACTATGTAGATCAATTCACTGTTAAAATGCATATGTGCAGCAGTTTCAACCAACGTACTGGCTGTGTCACAAGATTTGGTGACTTTTTACACCTTTTTTAACACTTTATGGCTACTTTCCCTTAAAAAACGTCACTAACTGTAACTGTGAAAATCACTACATGTAGCTTTTTCTACAAAACTATGATCGCAAAGTGGGGGCATGTTACACAAAGTTATTACAATTAGTTTCACAATGGTGTAATGTTTGTGCAAGACATTTTAACTTCAGAAATATTACCTTCACTTGAGGCTGTAAAAACGTATTAAAATACTTATTTCAAGTGTTTCTTGTACCATCTGAATGATGTAAAAACTGCAGATACCATGTTCTACTATGGTAAGATGGAGGCAGTGCAGTGCATTCAGGAGAACAACGGACAAATATTAACATTATTTAGTGTAAATATCTTAGAAGTTAGTATCAAAACCTTTGTTTTATACTGCTGAATGGACTGTAAATTGGAGTTGAAGGCTTTTAATGTTCACTGTTTGATGACCTGAGAGAATCCAGGAGGAATAAGAAACGAGATGAGAGCTCGGTGTGTCCTGCAGCTGGAGCCGATCCCAGCTGACATTGGCAGGGATCGTCCTGGACAGGTAGCCAGACTATCACAGGGCTGACACCCAAAGACGGACAACGCTTCACGCCCACACCGACGTAGAATTTTAGAGTCAACAATGAACACACGCTGACGAGCAGAGTCCACACAGAAGGCCGTCCAGCCCGGGAATGGAAACCTTGTTAGCGGTGGCGGTGCATCCCACCTCACAGCAGCGTTCATGCATTTCTTCTGTTGTTTGCTAGCAGGCGCAAGTGACAAGGACGCACATTCACGCAATACGAAGTCAATGGAGAGTGATGGGTTGTTTTCTTCAGTGTGGGCGGGGCTTAAATGTGCTTTATTTCTATAGAGCATGTAGGGGGCGGGGCTGAGACACATAGAAACGGAGGCTAGTGGTCGTAACATGTACGCATACTTGGAAAACCAAAAGTGTTTTATTAGAAACTAAAATATGCATGACGTAGCCGGCTGGAGTCTGCTGCTTATGGACCAGTTCAATGCAGAGTCTTTACGACCGTCGGTGTGTGTTTGTTACAGGCTTTCAGCTAGAGACTCTGGCTCGTTGTTGATCCAGTCAGAGCAGTTTGTCGGGAGAAGCAGAGGAAGCAGGCCCCAGTGAACCTACTCTGAGGTTATCGCTGTCTGAACTGGAGTCTCCGTCTTGTTGTCAAACAGCAAAGCGGTGCTTCCATTCGTCACCGACAGCCCCCTGAGAACAAGCGACCGTTTGTCAGTTTCTCTTCTGGGGAAGACGTTGACACAGTTTTTCAGTCGTCTGTTATTTCCAGAGAGACTGCACTGGTGTCATGTATCAGGAGCTGGAATAAGGTCTGCAGAGTGCTGACTTCTCTGCATTTTTATGGAGGTGTATGGTGCACTTGCTTGGCGACATTCTTTTGTTTGCATTCATCACAGACTTGGTTTTAAACTCTGATCACGATATCTGTTATTCGGCTAAATCTAAATCAAGCTGTCTGATTGTGATCGAACAGTCAGCTGAAGTCTGTATTCATTTACTAGAAGGTGGATGTCTTCTCTCAATGACGCTCCACATCGTATGCGATGGGAAGACCAGAGTCCGTATAGTTCCTGTTTGTCATAAAAGTCTGCAAGTGAGTCAAAGTGAGTCCTCCGGTGAATATAGAGCAGGAAACAAACCGTAAACACAGCAAACAGAGCAGAAACACACATCCACAGTGTTCATGGGCTGCACAAAAAGGGACTATTTGTTTGTTCTGCAGTTATAAACTTAGTAGATAAACAAAGAACTGAACAAAGATGTCTCAACACTCTGCAGTAGGAGCGCAACATGATCCATGCAGCATGTGGAGCGCATGTCTAACTATAATATATAATCATTTCTAAATGCTTAAATCGCACATCATATTACAAACATACCTATGTGCTTTATACACAGTATATTTCTATGATACATTTGTTAAAGAAATGGATGTACGGAATATATTTATTTTAGTTCTTGAGTTAAATTAATGTACTACCAGTTTGTCAAAAGTATGTTTTATGTACTTTCAAAATGTTAGCTAACTAGCCAACCACTGAATGAGTACAATGTAACAACTTAATGCTTCATCCACACATCGATCAATAATATAGTAATACAAATGTGTTGTTATTTGCATTCTTTTTTCTGATTGGCAACAAAGACAAACACTGCAGGTTGTGTGAAACTGTCATAATTCAAGCAGCTCATTTAAATAGTGATGTAATCATTGGTTTGTCTTTCCCTCCCAGATGTTCCTGCCTGGCTGAAGAGTCTCCGTCTCCATAAGTACGCCGCTCTCTTCTCCACGATGACCTACGATGAGATGATGTCGCTGACTGAAGAACAGCTAGAGGCACAGCTTTTATTATACACACACACACACACACACACACACACACACACACACACACACACACACACACAGACAGTTTCAATTTAATCTGTAGAGAAAATAAGATATTGGAGGTTCTTACAGTGATTGTCTCGCCAGCTTTGTCCAGGTGAAGCTGATAATATTGGGCTAAATGTTGGAGGACTTGCATAGAGATCGCTGTGCTTCTACTTAAAGACGTTTGAGGAGTTTATTCTGAAACGGAGGATGCAGCTAAAATTAACACGAGCTCACCGGGAATCTGTGTACATCCTCCAGATGCTGCTCACTCTTTCTGTATCCGACCCTCAAATACTGCACAGCTGCACGGAGACGTGCTGAGCTTCACTGAGGTGTGATAACTGATTCCTATCGGAGTGATCTAGATTATCAGCTACAGTTCTTCATGGGACGTGTAAGAAGTTGTAATAGCTAGATTTTTTTTTGTGTATTTGAAGCCTTATTTATATATTCTCAACAGCTTTGTATATTAAAGCTGCTCACAACTCCTCAAACCATTTTAGTGGACGCACAGAAATCGTCTCCTCTCGTTGCATCATCATAATCGGCTCTTCTGATTGGCCTTGAGACCTCTGATCAAACTATTTATAATGAATGTGGAACGCCTTTAGTGCTTTTTGACAATGAGCAAATCTGTGTTTGACACAAAACTCTTTGTTCCAACAGAAGGTCACGAAAGGAGCACGGCACAAGATTGTTATCAGCATTCTGAAGCTCAAAGAGAGGCAGAACCTACTTCGCAGCTTGGAAAAGGTCAGTGACGGATTACCACGTCCTCTTCTCCTCTTCATCTACATACACCAAACAGAAACGGCTTCTAGTCCTACCTGGACTTATTTGGAAGTCTTATTTTGAGTTATTATGGTGATTGTAACCTCTGAGGACACCACAGGACTCTTTTCCTGCATGTTAGTGAGAAGGGTGGCCATTCTCACTCGGTGTTATGTGTCTGATACGGCAGCTAAGGGAACACCTAATCCAGGAAGGATTTCTCCTCCGGGCCGGATTCTGGGCTCCGAATTTAAACCCATCTGCCCCCCCCCACCCCTCAACCCTCCAGTCAGCCTTCAAAACAAGACAATGGCGCTCAAGGGCACACCACAGGAGGGACTTCTTGGGCCAGCTAAATTCAGGCATAACCTTTTCACCAGCGCTTCATTTAAAAATGTGTTCCCGCTGCATCGGAAGGGTCGGGGGAAACAAGACACCCGTTGCTTGGTATTTTGGGTTAACACAGACTCGTTTAGAGAGCTGCTGTGTGAAGGGTGGGAGGGAGGATTGATATGATGCACGCAGACACAATTAGTGAAGGAAGACCACATGTATTACTTTATACTCTGCTCTGTCACATGGGAGTGTGGTCAGGGAAATGGATAATGTGCTCGCTCACCGTAGCCTACATTAAACCATAACAACATGAATTCCCTCTCACTACACTCCGTAGCTCGCTCACAGCTAACTAGCTAGCTAGCCCCACCACAGCTACCGGCGTCAAGACAGGGAGTCGGTGGTAAAGTAGTAAAGATTTGAATGGCTGCATGACGTATACGAGCGGTGCGACTCCACGCTTAAAAGTTGAGAATATTTAAACTTTATTCTGCTCGGCTCCTCCCTTACACCCTCCTCTCCTCTCCCCTCCCCTAATTTACCCACCACCAGGATGTGTTGGAGGGCAGTAATCTGCGCGCCCCGCTGCAGGAGCTCCACCAGATGATCATGACGCCCATCAAGGCTTTCATCGGCGGAGAGGAGGCCTCCCTGCAGCGCCACCTGCTGGGCCCCGAGGGCAAGAGCGCAGCGCCCGGCGCCCACCTGTCCGGGGTCGGCGGAGGGGAGGCGGAGTCGGGCGCGAGCGTCATCGCCGAGGGGGATCTACCCGGCCAGTTCACTCGTGTCATGGGCAAAGGTGAGCCGCGCGGACCAGCACGCTCGCTTGAGATAGTTTCCATGAACTGAGAGAGGTTCTTTGTTTTAATGTCTTTACTTTCGTCCTCGTCAGTTTGTACCCAGCTACTGGTGTCGAGGTCAGACGAGGACAACATCAGCTCCTACCTACAACTCATCGACAAGTGCCTTATCCATGAGGTACCCCCTCCCTCCCTCTGGAACACGCTGCTGGATTCTACACACATGTCAAAATGAGGAATCGCCACATAAACATACAGCACATAGATGTACTCGGAACCGACAACACTCGTATCAGTCATTGGGAATTTAAAGTTTAAACTAAACTAAGCTCTGTAATGGTTTGTTGTTACTTACAATGGTCTTATTACGCCGTCGTATTTCAGCCCTCAGCAAATGATAATTCACTAAATTAAAATGTTGACAGATATCAAGTTTAAAGAGAGATGCTGTCATCCAGACTTCTCTCTGTCTCTCTGAAGCGCTTGAGTTTCATCATCTTCATAGTATAAATGCATCATATTCAGACATCTTTCAGATCTGTCGGTCAGTTGTTGTACTTGAAATTCGTACTCCCTGTTCGTCCCCCCCTCCCCCCCCTCCCCGTCAGTCTTTCACCGAGACGCAGAAGAAGAGGCTGTTGTCATGGAAACAACAGGTCCAGAGGCTGTTCCGGTCCTTTCCAAGGAAAACCCTCCTCGACATAGCAGGGTACCGGTCGCAGAGGAGGTGAACACAGTAGTTTTCATTGTCTATGACGAAGACGCTTTCAATCAGAGTCACTTTAACTTTAATAATGTAAGAAAAGAGCACAGGTGTGTTTACATGATGAGATGAGTGGTACATGTTAGAAACAGTCAGCAACGATTTCCATTAAGTTCATTTTTTCCTTTGTTGACATGTCTGCAATCGCATAAATGTGGACATAAGTGAGTGAGAGAATGATTTATCTATCACAGCGAGAGCAAAGATAAACTTCTAAATACTTAATCTGAATGGAATCTAATACTAAAACATGTTTTTCCTTTTCTTTTATGTTTCTGTGATTCCCGTTTCGTTCTGCAGCCGTTTCGGTCAGTCCAACTCTCTCCCCACCGCTGGCTGTGTCGGAGGCAGCGTGTCGGCCCGGAGGAGCCTTCGACAGTTCCAGATGCCCTCCAGGAGTCTGCCCGGAGCCCGGCCCCTGCTGGGCAGCGGGGGGCTGCTGGGACCCACACCTCGAAGCTCCAGCAGCACACCCACCGGACTAAAGCAGGGGAGACAGGTGAGAGAGGCCAGCAGGATAGGGGAGACAGGTGAG